GAAATGGTACTGGGACAAATGGATATCCACAAGTGAAGCCAAAAAACAAACAAAAAAGAGTTACATCCCACCAGACAAAAATGAGCTAAAATTGATCATAGATCCAAAGGTAAGCACCAACCCTTAAAATTTCTCAAAGAAAACATAGGAGAAAATCTTAGGAGAAAACCTCTTATATGTGACATCACAAGTATGATCCTTACAAGAAAAAATTAATAAACTAGACTTTATCGAAATTTAAAACTTTTGCTCTTCAAAAGCCACTGTAAAAAGAATGAAAAGACAAGCCACAGACTTGGAGAAAATATTTGCAAATCACATATTTGGTAAAAAACTTATATCTAGAATACCACACATAAAGAATTTTTACAGCATAATACAAGGAGAAACAACACGTTTTAAAATAGGCAAAGAAGATTTGAATAGACATTTCACTAAAGAAGACACGAGTGGCAATTAAGCACATGAAAACACATTCAACATCATTAGTCAAAAGGGAAATGTAAATGAAAACTACAATAAGATGCCACTTCACACCCACTAGAATGACTGTAATAAAAAAGACAGATAATACAAGTGTTGACAAGCACTCAGAAAAAGTGGAAGCCGTGTACCGTAGCAGGAATGTAAAATGACAGATTCTCTGGAAAGCAGTTTGGCAGTTTATACCACTTTACAGATAAACTCAGCATATGACCCAGCAGTCTCATCCCTAGGAATCTACCCAAGAGAAATGAAAACGTATATGCACATGAAGACCTGCATACGTGTGTTCATGGCAGCATTGCTCACAATCACCAAAAACTGCAAACAACCCAAACGTCCATCAACTGTAAACAGATAATGTGGTACAACCATACAATGGAATGAAAAGGAAAAGAACACCGCCACGTGCGGCAGCCTGGATGAACTTCAGAAACATGATGCTGAGTGAGAAGAGCAGACTTGAAAGACTACAGATTGTGTGAGTCCATTTACACGGAATGTCCAGAAAACACACATTTAGAGAGACATAAAGCAGACCAGTGGTTGTCTAGAGCTGGAGGTGGGAGCAGAGATTAACTGCAAATTTGGTGATTGTTACACAATCCTAAAAATTTACTGAAAATCATTGAATTGTCCCTTGTAGCAAGTGAATTTTATGATATATAAAATATGTTTCAATAAAACTGTTAAAAAGTTAATAAGAAATCATATATAGTGACCTAATTTAGTCTTTCTGTGGTTTAAATGTACCCCCTGCAGTCTTCAGTCTCTTACTGGCTCCTTTTTCTTGTTTGGCTCCTTTTTAGGTTTTGGTCTCTAATTTTGTTCTAGATGCTTTCTTTTGATGATTGATCCACTCCCACAGCTTCAACTGTCACCTCACTCCTTAAAGTCTCTACATCGCCAACCCAAATCCACTCCCTAAATTCCACCTTGGTACTACTTCTGCATTCCTATTGGACCATCCACCTCTCTATTCCACAGGGACCTCACCTTAATTCATACAATGTGGTCCTCGTGCTCGTCACCTCGCTTCACCATCAGTCCTGGATTCTCTTTTACAAAGTGTCTGAATTCTTCTTCCAGTCTCTGTGTTGAAGTATAAATTCTTCCTAACACTAGTATAATTTTGCCAGCCCCAAAATATATCTTTTTTAATTTATTGAACTTTCAGTTCTTAACCAATAAGTAAGGCTGTGTGCCTCTTGGTTTCTGACTTCATTAATAACAGTAGTAGTTATTGAGCCGATACTCCTGTATGTGGTGTGCGGTGCTGTCTCCCGCGCCCTCTCAGCCCTGGGCCCAGTGGTCTGCAGTTTACCGTCCAGTGAGGGAGACGAACACCTAAGGAAATAAATGAGAAATGATAGGATCTTACCTCCAATCATACCAACAAATTCAGGACCTTACGTCCTGGAGCAGACAACAGGGCACGTGTCTTTGAAATTTGGATGAAATCACAGATTAACAAAGGATTAGGGGGTCTTTATTAATCTCAGAAAATGTTTGCAATTTGATGGCTGAAAGTGACACGTTTTAATGTTCGTTTTCTAGATAACTAATTAGATTGAGCAATTTTTCCTGTTTATGGGTCTTTTTAATTCCCTTTTCCATGAGTTACCTTTTCGTCCCTTTCTCATTTTTTTATGCGTAGTCTGTTGTCGTTTCTCATTCATTCGAGGGAGCACTTGATTGCATTGTGGTCGGGGCCATGCTCCCACTCGGGCAGAGGCCAGGCATGGGCGGGAGCAGAACCAGGCTGGGGAGGAGTCAAGGCCGGGGTCAGGGCTGGGTCAGGGCCAAGTGGGGCCCAGGGTCAGGATGGGGTCGGGGCGGAGTCACGGCTGGTCTGGGGCGGGGTCAGGGCGGGGTCGGGGGGGGTCAGAGGGGGGGGGGGCGAAGTCACGTCAGGGCTGGGGCGGGGTCAGGGGGAGTGGGGGCTCAAGGCAGGGTCGGGGTGGGGTCAGGGCGGGGTCAGCGGCCCTGGCGATGGGCGTCGAGGCGCGGACCCCCCGAGGCCGGGGCCTGCTCTGGCTGCTGCTGCTGCTGCTGCCCGCGGCCGCCCCGGAGCCGGGAGGGTCCCCGCCCGCCGGCCCGGCCCGCGAGGCGCAGCGGTTGGCCCCCGGAGCCGCAGGTGCGTGGGGTGCGACGGCGACACCACGGGGGGCGGGGCTGTGGCCCGGGCCTAGTGCCTTGAGTCGCTGCGCTTCATCTTCTTTCCACGCCCACCTCCAACCAGCAGCCCAGAGACCACCGACACACGGGGGGGCGGGGGGCAGGCCCCCTCTGCCGGGCCTCTGGGGGACCCTGATCGTGGGCTGAGCGAGGACCGCGCCCCGGCTGCCGAATGAGGGGCCGTGAGTCCGGGCCCAGGGGCTCACTCCCCTCCCTGAGCCCTGGGAGCACAGGCGGGGCCCCAGGATGCCCCTCAGGGGTCCTGGACACAGGGCACCCCCAGGGGTCAGCCAGAGCCAGGGCTGTCTTCCGTAGCCCACCACCGTCCTTTAGAAAGGGAGAATCCTGAGTCAGAGAGAGGTGGCCTTCCCAGGCCCCACAGCACCACAGACCTCTGCCTGCAGGTGTGGGGGTGACATGGGGGACACAGACACAGAGGCCGTGATCTTGAGTGAGGAGTTGGCACCCCGAGACCTTCAGTTCTGTGATCCACAGTGGGCATGGAGGTACAATAGTTGAGGGAAGGCAGGTCTGCCAGGTGCCTCGGCCCGCTCAGGGGCGTCCGTCTCCCTGGAGATGCTGTGAGCTGCTGTAGCCACCCTGGACCCTCTTGTCCCTCCCGCCGGACCCCTGGGCCCCCATTGCCACAGGATTTGCTTGGCTGTGCTCTGCTGTCCAGTCCTCGGCGGCAGCCAGTGACGGCAGAGTCCGGACAGCCCTGTTGTTTTGGCCAGGCCACTTGACCCTTGGCTTTGGTTTTCCTGTCTGTGGAGTGGAGGGGGCCTCCCTGGTACTAGTCTTTGGGGTACCGCCAGTGCCTCTCTCACAGGTGGTGGTAGGGAGGTCTCCACAGTGTGCGGGAAGCCCAAGGTGATGGGGAAGATCTATGGAGGCCAGGACGTGGTGGCTGGCCAGTGGCCGTGGCAGGCCAGCCTGCTGTACCAGGGCTCGCACGTCTGCGGAGCCGTCCTCATCGACTCCCGCTGGCTGGTTTCCACCGCCCACTGTTTTCTCAAGTGAGTCCACTTTCCTGGGGCACCAGCAGAGACGCTGGCGGGGGGGGGGGGGGGGGGGGGGGGGGGGGGGGGGGGACGCGGGAGAAGAGGAGAAACGGGGTGATGGGTGTCCCATGCCGGCTCCTCTGAGCTTTGGTCTGGGGCAGTCTGTGGCCTCCAAACAAGTGTCATTCCTGCCTGGACCTGCGTCCCCTCCACCTGGGTTGTCCTCCCGCTCGCCTGCCCGGATCCTCCTTATCCTCCGTCCTCAGCCCCCGGGCCTGTCCCCGGCAGATTGGCAGTGTCCATCCTGGCCGCCATGCAGTGTGGACTGGCCTCAGACCACAGCTCCTCCTTGATGTCCCCGCATTCCTGGGCGTCAGACTCCAGGCAGGGACCGGGACTGCGCGTACGGCCAGCAGCCGGGCGAGTCTTCTCATCGCTTCTGCAAAGCCGTGTGCCCGGGGGAGTGCTGGTGCCAGGCTGGTGGGGGGAGGGGCTCCCTGACCTTGGAGAGCCACATGGTCGCTCAGGAGGCTAACTTGGCTGGCCCCCCTGGCCGGGCTGGGCACCCAGCTTCTGAAGGGACGAGGAGGGGTCCCGAGGGAGCAGGGGCATCACGGCATAGGTCAGGGAGCAGGTGCTCGGGTGCTGATGGGCTTTGAGAGCCCAGAGTCCTGTTGGCATGCTCTGCGCGAGCCCCTCTGTGGCGTCGAGGTGGCAAGACTCCCCCTCGAGTGTCCCGCCCAATGTGGGTGAGAAGGGCAGACCCCGCAGGATAGGGGCTGCGCTCCAGCGGTGGGGGCTGGCTTCTCAGAGGAAGGGTGTGGGCACAGAGAGCGGGGGAGGGCTCTCCGGGGGTGAGCTGTGCGGACGAGGTGCGGAGGTGGGAGCTCCAGCCCTTGTGTTCAGGGAACGAGGCGAGGTTCCGCTGCCTGCGCTCGCTTGCTCCTTGAACAGATCTTTCGTGAATGCGTAACCAAGTGGACAGGCAGCCCTTGGGCAGGAAGGTGTTTAAGGAGAGGAGGGGCAAGAAAGGTTTTGGGGCCAGAAGGTGGGTTGTGGGAGCCCTGGGGGGTCATCTGAGAGCTGGGACTGAGCTGGGCTCTTCTGGTGCACAGTCAAAAGGCCTCGATGTGGTGGCCCCACGAGGACCCCAGCACTAGGAGTCAGTGCTCCTCCGGCTCTAGGGTGTGGTGGGGAAGCCCTGTGTCCTGAGGTTGTGAGTAGAATATCAGTCGGCCTCGAGAAAGAGGGGCTCCTGCCGGTTAGAGAGGGAGACAACAGCTGCCCGGCATCACGTGGAGGGGCGGGGTCCGGAGGGGTGTGGGCAGTTAGACGAGCATGCAGGGAGAGAGGGCTGGCCCACGCTCAGAGGTGATGGCAACAGTGCGCCCTTCCTCCTCCAGCAAATCCCGCGCCCCCGAGGACTACCAGGTTCTGCTGGGGAGCACCCAGCTGTACCAGCACACCCAGCACACCCGGGCGATGTCTGTGAGCCGGATTATCACGCACCCAGACTTTGAGAAGTTTCACCCCTTCGGGAGTGACATCGCCATGCTGCAGCTGCTCCTGCCTGTGAACTTCACGGCCTACATCGTCCCAGCCTGCCTCCCAGCCCCTGGGATGCAGCCGCCCAGTCACGCGTCCTGCTGGATCACTGGCTGGGGGATGCTTAGCGAGGACGGTGAGGGGTGTGGGAGAGGCAAGGATGAGGGCAGGCTAGGAGGAGAGGGGAGGAGAGGAGCAGGAAGAAGGGGGTGTGGCTCAGCCCGAGGGGTCCCCAGGCAGAGTCCAGTGCACCGTGGCCCTCTGTGCCTCATTTGCAGAGGACTGGACATTCTAGTTCTAGTTCTGAAAAGTATGGTTCTAAAGCTTCTGAGTTCCCAGAGTCTACCGCTCTGCGAGTCTGGGAATCTGACTTCTGGAATCAGGAATCTGGGTTCCTGGAGTCCTCCTGGTTCCTGATTCCAGGGTTTTAACCAGCCACGGTTCTGAGATGACTTGAATTGACTTGACGGGCATTCTTGGGGCCTGGCCCATTCACGCCACCAAAGACACCCTGATTTCCTGTGGCCATAGAGGGCACTTGGCGAGAGTGGAAAGACAGCACAGTTATGGCCTCTGACCTCTGAGCCTGCAGGATGGAGTTAGAAGGGTCCCCACTTCAGAGCATTTCACCTCTCTGAACCTCTGCTGTTCTAACACAGGTCAACTGCCTACTTCATAGGCTTTATTAGGTGAACTGAATATCACAGGGAAGTCTGTGTTTTCACATTGAAAGAGGAGAAATGTAGGCAAAGACTGATGAACAAGAGTCCTTATTAAAGAACCAGGTGTTTGTGGTTTAGGGAAATGCTTATGGTGTAAAGTTAGAGGAGAGAAGAATATATATTTGTAATTATTTGTAGGAGCATACTTTGATGTGGAGTTTCTCAGCAGAGGTGCTACAGGCATTTTGGGTAGACCACGTCGTCACTGGGTGGAATTGTGTCAGCGTCCCTGGTCCTTGCTGCTAAGTGTCAGGAACTCTCCCTAGTCATAGGACAGCCAGGCCCCAGCATTCTCTCTCTCTCTTTCTCTCACACACACACACACACACGCAGACAGACACACGCATGTACCCAGATACACACACAGACACACACACACACAGTCTGGCTCTTCTTGAGGGCAGAGACTGCATCTTACTTGTCGTGACATCCCAGTCTGTGCCATGGGCCTGGTACCTGGTAGGTACCGCACTGCAGACACCCTGGTCCGAGAGAGCATAATCTCCTTTCTGTGCCTCCAGCCTGTCCCCCTGCCCCTGTGTGCTCTGCTCTAGTCTCCGCACAGCTGAGTGTTTGTTTAAAACATGTCACTGCACCTCCCTGCTCAGTGCCCTCCGTGCCTTCTCATCTGTGCTTAGCAGAAAGTACAGACTCCCCACCTTAGCTCTCAGGCGCTGCATGGTGTTGGCCCCCATCCCTCTCTGCCTCGTCTCCTGTGTCCCTCATACCCCATCCCAGCCACCAGGCCCCCTTCCTGCCTGGAGCACGCCTGGCTGATATCCCCTCAGGGCCTTTTCCTCGGCTGTCTTCCCCACCCCCTGTCCTCCTGCTCATCTTTGCACCACTCATTTCTGCTTCACTTTACAGCTCAGCTCCTCCCTGAGGAGTTTTACTTGACAGTGGGAGCTAAAGGAGGCAAGCCCTCCTGTCACAGCTCCCTGTCTTATTTCCTCCACACCACGCATTAGATCTAAAATAATTCTATTTATTTACTGCACTTACCCTGACTCCTCAAACTAAAAACGTTCCCCTGTATCATTACAAAGATACTTGACACAAGGATAGAGGAAGAGATGAGTGATTGGTTGAGAGGGTGCATGAGGAGGGGTGGTGGGAGGATGCGCGAGTGGAGGGAAGATGGGTAGGTGAGTGGGTGGATGGATGGAGTGGGTGGATATATTCATAGATGGAGGGGAGGATGGGTGGGTGAATGATGGAGCAATGGATAGAGGAATTGGTGGATGGAAGGATGGGAGAAAGAATGACAGACGAATGGAGGATGGATGGGATGGTTCATGAGAGGGGAGGTGGGTCGCTGGATGGTTGCTCAGCCCCAGGGAAAGGCATGTGTTGGTGGATTTGCCTTTTTCTTTGTGGAATGGAGAGGTGTGGTCTGTTGCTATGAGAGGGGTGGACAGAATAGGATGAGTTTGTGAAACAGTTTGAGAACTAGGAGAGGAGCTTCTTGGGGATGGGAAGAAGACTGACGCCATGTTGAAAGCTCCGCCGTGCTGAGAAAACCCCCTGTTCAGGGGGCAGCGGTGGCAGTACTTGGAGTGGAGGGGGTGCGGCAGCCGGGCGTCCTCACTCTCTGCAGCCCCTTCACGTCTCCTCCTCCACCTTGCAGCGCCTCTGCTCTCGCCCTTCCGTCTCCAGGAGGGGAAGGTGGGCCTCATTGAGAACAAGTTCTGTAACATCTTGTATGGACAGAGACTGGGCAAAGACACGAGCTACTCTGTGCACGAGGAGATGCTGTGTGCTGGGGACTTCTTCACAGGAAAGGCCATCTGCCAAGTGAGTGAGGCCTTCTCTCTTCTTCCCTTGCCTGACCTCAGGGCCTCAGTTTCCCCAGTGGTGGGAAACCTCCACTCTCTTTGTGGAGACTCCTGGGGCTTCCTGTTGCCTCCCTCTGCATGTCTCCATCCCCCAGCAGTGTTCCCCGGCCAGCCCCTGCCTAAGCCCATGCCACGTGAGGGCATCTGCCAGCAGGACCCTCAAACAGTGTCTGTTTTTGAGGCATATTTTAAACTTTTTTTTTTTTTGTGAGGAAGATTGGCCCTGGGCTAACATCTGTGCCCATCTTCCTCTATATGTGGGACACCTGCCACAGCATGGCTTGATGAGCAGTGTCTAGGTCCATGCCTGGGATCAGAAACTGTGAACCCCAGGTCACCGAAGTGGAGTGCACAAACTTAACCACTATGCCACTGGGCCGGCCCTCGTATTTTAATCTTTTTATTGAAGTATAACATACATACGTACGTACAAAGGAGTATATCATTCCTCAGTGTATAGTTGGATGAATTTTCACATACGGACACATGTGACCAACTCCCTGGATGCCCCACTCGTGTCCCCTTCCTGTCACCAACACCCAAGGGGAACCACCATCTTCACTTTTAACACCTGAGATTCTGAATGTTCCATAAGTGGAATTAGTTTCCAGTTGACAGTCTTTCGTGTCTCAACATCAGGTTTGTGAGACTCCTCCCCCGTGTTACACTCGGTTATGGTTCACTCATTCTCATTGCCTTGTAGGACTCTCCGGTGTGAACTGAATTCTTTGTGATCAGTTCTATTTTAGTAGTTTCCAAGGTTTTCATTTCATTTCATGTCCAAGTACTTCCTGTATTTCGTATTTGATTGAAAAGCGTGTGGATGTCCAGCTGTGGCAGATGTTGCAGCATCTCCAGAGTGGTGCCCCAGTCCCACCCCCGACGGCGGGTGACTTTGTTTCCTGCCAACACTTGGCACTTGCCATCTTTTCTCATTTTGGTGGGTGTGTAGTGATATCTTGTAGTGGGTTTAATTTGTGTTTTCCTCATGACTAATTAAGTTAAATATATTTCCATATGTTTATTGTCATTGGATATCTTCCTGTGTACTTTCCCTTCAAGTTTCTCTCCCTCTCATTTTTCTGTTAGGTTGTCTGTCCTTTTCTTTCAGGAGCTCTTGGTATATTTGTATATTTTTGTGTATTGCAGATATGAGTGCACTGTTGGACATATGGGAAAGAAGATCTCTTTCTGCTCCCTGTAATGCCCCATTTTATAAGTGGGCAAACAGGCCCTGAGGGGAAAGTGGCTGCCCTGAAGGAACAGCCCTGTGTTCTGACACCACGCCCTCCCCGGCCTCCACAGCAGCCCCTCAAGGCCCAGCCTCCGGAGCTGCTCCGTGCCCAGAGCTCCTGCATAGACGGGCATGGGGTGGAGGGGAGGGGACAGTGTGAGGGCTCCATGCGCCGAGCTCCTGCATAGACGGCCGTGGAGTGGAGGGGAGGGTGTGGGGGCTCTGGAGTCAGAGAGACTGCTCTTCCCGTGTCCCTGCCCTGTGACCTCGGATAGTTACTTCACCTTCTGAGCCCGAGTCCTTGTTCACAGGGTGGGATTCTGAGGCCCCCTTCCTGGGATTGTTGGAAGGATGGTGTAGTGGGTGGAGTAGTGTCCCCAAAATTCTTGTCCATTTGGAACCTCAGAATGTGACTGTATTTGCAGATGTGATTAGTTAAGAATCTTGAGATGAGACCATTCAAGAATTCAAGTGTACCCTAAATCCAATGACTGGTGTTTTTATAAGAAGAGAGACACAGAGATGGTTGATTTCAGACTTCTAGCCTCCAGAACTGGAGGAGAATAAGTTTCTGTTGTTTTTTTTAAACTACCCCGCTTGTGGTATCGTGTTCTGGCAGCCCCAGGAAAGGCACACAGGAGTGATGAGACATGCCCGGCCCGTGGGCTGGGCTCACGGCGGCCATTTTCATGACTGCCCATGACTGGGCCAGAGAGAGGAAGCTCGGCCACCTGCCCTGGTAGGAGGTGACCCAGGTTTCTTGGTTCCCAGTCCATAGCTGATGGTATGGACCCTCCGGCTGTCTGGCCTGGCTTGTCCTCCTCACAGAGGCAGCTGCACCCAGACGCGGAGCAATGGGCTCAGCCCCTGAGTCCTCATCTGACTGTCACCCTAGACCTCCCTCCCAGCCTTGTCCACCACTTGCCTTCTCCTGCAGAGGCCGTGCCCGTGGAACTTGGGGCCGGCGCCTTTGTCTGCCTGCCTGCTGGACATCCGTGGTGCCCCCTGACCCCCCTCCTCTCCAGGTTCTCCCCAGGCTGAGGACACCACTGGGCTGGACACCCTCCTCCCTTAGCCTGTTGGTCACCACAGCCTGTCGGTGAGGTGCCATCTGGATTCATCTTCTGCCATGTCGCCTGCTCTGCCCCTCCCGCACCCCCGGGCTCTCTACTCTCCCCTGAAGTGCCCCGGCCCCTGCATGGGGTGCCCAGAAACAGCCCCGAGGAGACGGGGCCTCCGGGGGACTCAGTGCTCAGGCTGTGGGCGGGACAGTCCTGGTCGGGTGTCCGATCTGTCTTTCCTGGCGTGTGACCTTAGCTCCCCTCCTCACCCTGCAGCCTCCTCTCCCTCAGGTGCCTGTGGGAATTCAGCCCGGTGCCCAGCGGTGAGCAGGCGCGTCGCATGTATGGCTCTCCTCCCCCGCCGGCTGCCCCTCTCTCTGGGTGGCCGTCCTTCTTCCGGGCCGGCTTCAGACCCGTCCTCAGCTGAGGCCCCGCCCCACACACGCACACGTGGTTCCTGTCTCCACAGACGTGCAAATCGCAGCTCACTTTGCACGGGATACATCAGTGCTGGGGCTTCCTCTGCCTCCCTAGAGCTCCCCAGGGGCCGGGAGGCTGCTGGAGCCCTTCCCTCTCCCCGTCTCCCCCAGGCTGGCCTAGAGTCCAGCGTAATACCGGCAGCCACATGGCCCATCTGCGTGAG